CCTCCATCACACACACTTACTCAAACACGCACAACACACAGACAACCACTCAGCTATTACATATCACAACGCCTCCTCACACACACAACACACAGACAACCACTCAGCTACTACATATCACAACGCCTCCTCACACACACTACTCAAACACACACAACACATACACAACTACTCAGCTACTACATATCACAACGCCTCCTCTCACACACTAATCAAACACACACAACACACAGACAACCACTTAGCTATTACATATCACAACACCTCCTCACACACACTTACTGCTTCTGCGGGATCGGCGAGGGAAGGTGGATAAGTCCACTGCGCTATAGTCGGTGTGTGGGTGGTTGCTATGCACGTGCCCAGGCGCGTGTTCGGGTGCTTCCGTCTGTTCACTGAGTGGGCCGTCGCCACACCTCTGCGCTTCACCCACCGTGTGGGGCAGGGGAAACGATTGTTGACTGGTGTCTACCTTGTGGTGGCTAGACAATGGTTGAATTTCTTGGGTTTCTTGGGTTTCTGGCGACTGCTGGTTGGCATGCGTCGGCTGTGTTCCATTGGGTGCATGTGACACAGCGCTTATTTCGTCACGTGACGGGATAGTGTTATCGTTTACCTCCTCACTGTCTGAGGGAAGGTGTGGTCGCGGCACTTGGTTCTGTAGCGGTAGTATGCTTTCTGGAGCTGGATGGTATAGCGGGCATTCTGTGCGTAAGATAGTTAGGGGTATAAGGGGGGAGGGGGCTTGGGTGAGTTAGGCTGAGTAATACATGCTTTGGGATGACTTTGGTTATGTTCTACGCTATATATATAATTATATAATTATATAAGTAGCATGAGAGCTACACAAGTGTTGTAAGCACACACATCTGACACCCACTTACCACTCTCATTGCACCCGAAGTGGATGAAGTTAAGACACATGCGCACACATCTGATGTGTTGGTTGGTGATCGTCAGCCGCTGCACGTGGTGCGGTGTGTGTGCGTAGGGACACACCTCAAGGCACGAGTTGTCCTCCGGACTGCCGTATCTGTGCGCGTAAAGGTGAGGCGTTTTAACGTTTTAATGTATGGATAAATACGCCAAAACATGTCTCATACATACACATACGCGAATCGGTAAAATCCTCATAAGAATCCCTAAACCCTGAAGGAAACATGCAGCGCGGTGACGTACCTACGACAAACCTTCAGATACGCCCCATCGACAGTTGGCATTTGAGCACAGACGGCCGCCTGCCACGCATTGGTGGTGTGGTATTCGGAGCAATCTGTGGCAAAACAAACAATACGCCCGAGCGGGTGTGAGCACACGCCCCTCTGCAGCGACCGGTACAGGCCCAACGACAGTGACTGTGTTAATACTTGCTATTGCTATGCACATGTTATGCC